GCTGTGGCAGTGCTGCCCCAGAGCAGCAGAGCTAACAGGCTGCTGTCCCTGCAGCTGATGAGTGCCATCCAGAAGGGCCACGTGTCGGGGAGCCGCCTGGCCGTGCTGATGAAGAGCGCCGAGGAGAAGCTGCGGCACCGCTCCGTCATCCCGGTGGACCGGAGCGGCGGGGGACTGTGAGACACGGAGCCACGAGTGCTGCCAACATTCCAGGGCTTCGGGTGGTCCTCGCGGGGCGCCCAGAGCTGCGCGTCGGTGTCTCTCACAAATACATTGGTGCGTTTGTCCTTGTCGTTAATGATGTCCTTACTACTCTGGTATGTGGCCTTTGGGTCGGGGGTTCTTGGCTCGCGGGGGGGCTCGGCAGGAGTCAGGAGTGCAGGCTGGGAAGGTTGGAGTGCACACACAAGCACACACTGCCTTGGTCGTTACCTTTCGCATCACCTTTACCTTTAAATGATGCTCCTGCCTCGGAGCTCGGCAGACACAGCTCTGGAATTCCAGAGCTGCTACTGTGTCTGCAGCAAAGAGAGGGAGAGCTGCTGTTCTGCATTGGAGATGTTCCCCCAAACGGTACAAATCCAACACTTCCAGAGGTGGCAATGGTGGTGGAGAACTGTCCTGAGCCTCCTGTGGGTGATTGGATTTGTTCCGTTATTCCAGTGATGCCAATACGTGGCCACATGAAAATTCCAGCTGGAAAACAAGACATCTTGATTAATCACCTGAGCCAATAACATAACTAAAAGCTGGGAAACAGCCTCCCCTCTCCCATATTGACACAACTGAGCTGCCTTTAATAAAAGCTTTGTCTGGCAGGTGGTGCTTTGGGTCCTGGAATAAAGGCAGGAGGTGCTTTATGCTAGGGAGGGCTTTGAGCTGGGGACATTGGATCAGCCTGTGAGGCGGCAGATGGAGGATGTGGCAGGTCTTGATAGCACAACTGGTAAATATTAATTGAAAAACGCTCAGACACAGAGTGAAAAAAACAAAGTTTGTCTTGCATTCCACTACCTTTTCCAGGAAAAAGGGCTATTTTCAGCAGGTTAACAGAAAATCCGAGCCAAGGGCCCTGACTGGAGCTTTCCCAGCACTGTACCTGTCTGTTGCCTTCCTGCTGCAGGTGGGAAATTTCTGCCTGATGTAGGACAAGGCAGGGAAGACCTGGGTTTGCTGCAGGATTTGGCATCCGTTGTGTTCCTTGAGCAGAAATAGCAATTGACACCTCAACCCAAGCTTCACTTCCCAGAGGTCAGAGTTTCTGCTGGGGTAAATCTGAGTTATTTAACTGCTGTCACCACCTGCACTGATGGGAAGTAACAGGACAGGAGTGAGCAGCAAAGGTTCTCACAGGGAAAATGATTCCAGGCACAACTGGAGCTGCTGAGGAGTGTGGCTGCAGCACAGTGGGCAGAGGTGGGTTTGGCTGGAGAAGTGAAGTCCTTTTCAGCATGTTAAAAATTCAGGTGTTGAAAAAGAGTAGATATAAAAGGGAAAAAAAAGGACAAGGCTCATCTAAACAGAGTTATTACACTGGTTCAGGTGGTTTTTGCATGTTAAGTTCCTGGTTTTGGTGCAGATACTGTTCAGGCTGTGGGCACGGGCCGAGGAGGAGGAGTTGGCACATCCAACCCCCAGGAAGTTTTGCTGCACACAGGGTTTGTCCCTGTGGTCCTGTCAGCTCTCCCTGTTGAGCTGTGTCCCAGAATATCCCGGTGAAGGCTGTTGTTTGGCTCAGTTTGTGTTTCCCACCCCAGTGACAGATTCCACAAACCCTCTGCAGGGTGACACGCAGGTGTGACACACAGGTGAGTTTGGCCCAGTGGGCAAGGAAAGAGGTTTGGGCTTCTACTGTTAACAGTTACTTAAGGGAATAAAACAAAGTCATGAACCTTTTCCAGGCCACTCAAAGAGAAATATTTCCAATATTGAGCAGTTTTTGTGTGGTTTAAAGATAAATTCTCCTCCCTGAATGGCTTTGTGAAATGAGTTTACCTGTGAGCAGGATTTGTGCTTTTTGTTCTCTTGTGTTGCTAATCTTGCACCCAGAATGTGACTTTGGGGTTCTCTTGTTTTGCTACTATTGCCTCTGGAATGTGACTTTGGGGTTCTCCTGGCTGCGTGGTGTCCTCGGACACGCATTTGTTGTGGGTCTCAGGCACTTTATGTCACTCTCCTGCTCCCCTGCACAGCCCAGCAAGGCCTTGGAGGGACAGAGCCCACTGCCCTCAGCAGCTCCAGAGCTGTCTGCAGGAACGCTGTCCTTGCTGCTTGGGGGTTAAATGTGACTGTGCTGTGGGAAGAGCTGTACAGCCTCACTGTCTCGCTGTGCTGGTGCAGCGTGGAAGAGCAGGAGTGGGATTATTTTTTTTCCTTTTTGTTGTTGTTGTTTGAGGTGAGAGTCGGTTTCTGGGTTTCCTGGGGGTGTCTGTGTGAATGCCTGGCCAGACTCTCCCTGCAGGGTGCTGCCAGGTCCCTGCTGCAGCCTGGGCTGCGATGCTGCGTTTGAGGTTGGGTTGTCGTTTTTATAACTGTCTTGGTGTTTTCCTGCCGTTATTTATTACCTTTGATACCTGGAATGAGCCGCATGCGTCTGTCCAGCAATAAGAGGATGTATTTAATGTGCCTTGTTTTTAACTAAGGACTGAGAGCATGAATCAATAAAGCTGGTTAAAATCTCTCCCTTCGCCCGTGGTGTGTTGTGCTAGGTGCAAAAGTCACTGGGATTCACCCCGAGATAGTTTATTTGGGAAGGGAAATCGCTGGGATAGATGTGATTTGGGAAACGGAGCCCATTTTTTCCTATGCTGTCCCATGTTAGCTCAGGATTTAGCTCTCTAATTCCAAAGTGAAAAATGAGAAGCTAACAC